TGGGACCACAGGCGCCCGCCACAACGCCTGGCTGTTTTTTTTTTTGGTTGCAGCCATCATTGTTGTTTGGCGAGCCTGGGCTGGATTCGAACCCGCCACCTTAGGTGTATGTGGCTGGCGCCTTAGCCACTTGAGCCACAGGCACCAAGTCCCTTTAAGTTATTTTTAATTTGTTGTTAAATTATAACATTTAGAAACCCTTTCTTCCCCCTCATCTTTTGAGTCTTTCTCTTGAGTTGATATTTTAGCTCCAAAACAATATGAAAGAGTTTTTGTTATAAAACAAAGTAAATTTCCTTATGTGAACCCTAAATTATCCATAAGTATTAGAGAAGGAACATTAAAAGTCTTTTGAATATTATTGGCAAAAATATGCAACTTCTTATGGTAAGGTGGACCATAGAACTTGACTTTTTAGTTGTTCCTGATTATCCCACTAATTTAATGGGAGCAGTGTATGAATAATTTAAAAATTACTGTTGGCATTCTTTTCTTCTAAATTCTATATACTTTATCCTTGAATCATATCAGATTAATAGAAAAATCCTTTCAGGTCTTCCATAAAAATGGTTATGTAGACTCTTAGTTTAATAATGCTTCACCTTTTACAACATATGGTTAGAATGAATTGTCATTAAAGAAATTGCTGTATAGTATCTATTCTGTCCGTTATGTTTTCATATATACTTTGTTTATGGGCTGGGATCACTTCCTCTTTGAGTTTTGTTCAAGTAAAAAATTTGTGTCAGTCAGTAAGCTAATATATTAACTTACCTCTTAACCTTTTTCTTTCTCTTTCTTCTCACGTTTAAATTACTATTTTAACCTTCTCTGAGTGGGAGTAAAACTTTATGCTGACTAGTGTTGTTAGCCTTGCATAATCTGGGGAAGCTTGTGTTTTTTTTTTCAATAGTTTACTTTTATTTTCTTATTCTTATGTATGGCATTGTTGTTTTGGTGGGCTTTTTTTTTTTTTTTTCTTTTTTGGCAACCAGTCTGAAAATATTCTTTGGAGGTAGATCGGGATAAATAATACAAAAAAAGTAGTGAATTAATCCAAAGGTATATTTATGCTTAGAATGAGAATATAGTTTTATTCTTTATGTTACTTTATATAAAATAAACCAAACTTGAAGTATCTCCTTATAGAAACTGGGAAGTGTACTGCCTTCTACTCATTCTCTAATAGGTCTCTCCTATTAGAGGGTAACAGTAAACCTGACTGTTTTTATGTTTTAGATTTTGTTTATATCTGAGCATCATTGTTTCTTCTAGCAACTGATTTACTATTAAATAGGAGTTAATGGCTGGGCCCAGTGGCTCATGCCTGTAATCCTAGCACTCTGGGAGGCTGAGGTGGGTGGAATGCCTGAGCTCAGGAATGTGAGACCAGCCTGAGCAAGAGTGAGACCCTACCTCTAAAACTAGCCAGGCATTGTGGCAGGCACCTGTAATCCCAGCTGCTCCAGAGGCTGAGACAAGAGAATCACTTGAACCCAAGAGTTTGAGGTTGCTGTGAGCTGTGACACCATGACATTCTACTGAGGGTGACAAAATGAGACTCTGTTTCTAAATAAATAAGTAAATAAATGTTAAATTCTTAGTCCATTATTGAAAAATGACTCTTATTTTAGCTACCATCTGAAGTATATACTTAAGAGATTATGGTGAAAATCTAAATTTTCTAAATTCTTTTTTTTTAAAGAGATAGAGTCTTACTTTATTGCCCTCGATAGAGTGCTGTGGTGTCACAGCTCACAGCAACCTCCAATTCCTGAGCTTAGGTGACTCTCTTGCCTCAGCCTCCTGAGTACCTAGGACTACAGGCACCTGCCACAATGCCCAGCTATTTTTTGTTGCAGTTTGGCCAGGGCTGGGTTTGAACCTGCCACCCTTGGTGGGGCTAGCGCCCTACCTACTGGGCCACAGGTGCTGCCCTATCTTAATTCTTATTACACATTTAAAGTAAATCTTAACTTTTATTTTTATCTATTAGTAAATTTGAAACCTTTTTAAAGCAGTAGAATTCTTTTAAGGACAACTTAATGTATAATATAGAAAATAGATTGTTCTCAATTGTGTGCCAGGGGCTTTCCATATGTTATATACTCCTGAAAGATAGTAGAAAAGTCTTAAGCACATCTGGTACTTAAAACTTTATTTTCTGTTTAATCTAGGCGACAAAAGGCTAGAGAGAGGCAGCAGAAATTGCTCGCAGAGTTTGCTTCACGGCAGAAAAGCTTCATGGAAACCGCAATGGATGTTGGTAAGTCAAAATGTTTTAGTTTAGAATTAGAATGATCTTGTCCAGTCAACCACCAGTTTTAAACAGACAGACAGATGATTTTTAGTCTTTTTTTTTTTTTTTTTTTGAGACAAGAGCCTCAAGCTGTCCCCCTGGGTAGAGTGCCATGGCATCACACTCACAGCAACCTCCAACTCCTGGGCTCAAGCGAGTCTCCTGCCTCAGCCTCCCAAGTAGCTGGGACTACAGGTGCCTGCCACAACGCCTGGCCATTTTTTGGTTGCAGCCGTCATTGTTGTTTGGCGGGCCCGGGCTGGGGATTCGAACCTGCCACCTTAGGTGTATGTGGCTGGTGCCTTAGCCGCTTGAGCCACAGGCACCAAGCCTGATTTTTAGTCTTTATTTAAACAATAAAGTGGTGAAAAAGCAGACTTTTATTATAGACAGTCTATCTTATTGTTAAGTAGCTGCAGTTGTTAGGGAGTTCTTCCTTATGGTAGCAGTACAGTCTGTTCCCTTCTGTTAAACTATTTCATATATTTGTGAGGTTCGTCAGTATCCCTTACTTATTTTGATATTTTCCTGTGAAATTATCCCAAGATCCTTAAAATAGTTTTCCAATAATTTTAGTGCCTCCTCTTTCTGCCACTCCTTCAGTGTTTCTTAAAGTCAGGTGTCACTTCCATTAGGATTGGCATTAGGATTTATATGATGAAAGAGGATACCATGTTCCTGTAATGTGACAGGTTGCTATGAGCAGCCTTTTATACATCCTGGAGAAATCTCTATCTCAGTCTTCATTTAACCAGGATATTCCCTTCCCTATTTCTTTCATTGCAGTAAATTTTTTCCTTTTGTTTTTCTTTTAGACAAAATTGCTGAAAGAAAGTAAGCTAAAGTCATACATTTAGTTAAAATACATACAAATATGCGCATTCAGATCAGTGCCCAGAAGAAGTGCAGAGAGGTGATCGGTTCAAATTTACCCTAATGTCTTCTGAACCATCAACAGTGTAGTTTATGTTCAGGTTACAACTTTGATTATATACAGAATATAGGTTGCATCCCTAATCTCAGAGTCTGAAATTTAAAATTTTCCAAAACCTGAAACTTTTTGAGCACTGATATGATGCCTCAAGTGAAAATTCCTAACCCCATGTGATAGGCAAAATGCAGTCAAGTCCAGGTGTGGGGCTCAGGCCTGTATCCCAGAACTTTGAGAGACTGAGATGGGATTACTGCCTGAGGCCAGAAGTTCCAGGCTAGACAGAGCCACATAGTAAGACCCTGTCTACAAAAAAAAAAATATATTAGCTGTGTATGGTGCTAAGTGCCTGTAGTCTGGCGAAGGGAGGCCAAGGTGAGAGGATTACTTGAGCCCAGGAGTATTAGGCTGCAGTGAGGAGTGATTGCATCATTGCACTCCAGCCAGGGCGAGAGAATGAGACCCTGTTTCTGTAAGGTATGTATGAAACATAAATGAATCTTGTGTGTAGACTTGGGTCCCATCCCGAAGGTATGTCATCATTTATATGTAAATATCCCCAAATGACAAAAAATCTGAAATTCAAAAAACTCCTGATCCCAAGCATTTCAGATAAGTTATATTCACTCTATACTTAAATTCTCTTTATGGGATTTACTTAGCATCAGTTGACTTTCTCATATGAAAGATGAGGGTTTAGTTCATTAATAGTACTTTCTCCATTTCTTCTTCTTTCCAAAAATTGATAATTTGTGTTTTCTACATATTTAGTATTATTGTAATATATTTTATCTGTCTCTAGTAGTCAGTATCTTGATGTTCCTTATAAAATGAACTAATAATCACCCTTACCTTTCCCGTTTTTTCTTGCCTCTTCTTTACTTCCTGCCTTTTATCACTTGGTTGTTTACTTTTAAATTGTCAAGGTTGCTGACATTTTATTTTGTGGCCACTATAAATGTCTTTTATTCAAAGGTCAACTCTGTAAGAACAATGAACAATATTTGTATTAGTATGATTTTTTTTTTTTTGAGACAGAGTCTCACTTTGGTGTCATAGTTCACAGCAACCTCAAACTCCTAGGCTTAAGCGATTCTCTTGCTTCAGTCTCCTGAGTAGCTGGGACTATAGGCATCTACCACAGTGCCTGGCTAGTTTTTCTGTTTTTAGTAGAGACAAGTTCTCCCTTTGCTCAGTCTGGTCTTGAACTCCTGAGTTCAAGCAATCCACCCTTCTTAGCCTCCCAGAGTGCTAGGATTATAAGCGTGAGTCACCGTGCCTGACCTTTTAGTATATTCTTAATAATGCTTATTTGAATTCTAAACTACCAGATTCTTGATTAGCCCTCCGTGCTTGATTGTTCATTTGAATGGATATAGAATTCTAGGTTGATAAGTATTTTCTGTCACAATTGAAGACATTGCTTTCTTGTCTTTTGCCACTCTTTTTTTTTTTCATTGTTGGGGAATCATTGAGGGTACAAAGAGCCAGGTTACACTGCTTGCATTTGCTGGGTAAAGTCCCTCTAGTAATAGTGTCCAGTCTTTTGATGAGAAGTCTGTTGGTAATCTGATTCTTACACTTTTGCAGGTGAACATTTTTTCCCTTTCCCATGACACTTTTATGGTTGTGTACTCCTTAGAGATCTGAAATTTTATCATTTGTGTCTATGAAGATCTTTTTACATCCTTCTTAGTAATGATCATTTTCTGTTTGAAGATTTATATCTCTGAAGCTATGAGAAAATTTTTCCTGTGATTTGTTTGATAACTGGTACAGTTACCCAATGAAATGGTCTTCAGTGATCCCTGCCTTCTTGTATTTTTCCTGTGTAATTTTTTCCCACACTGCAACAGAATTGGTTTGTGTGACCAATAGAATATGGCATAAATGATAGTATGTCATTTATCATATTAGGTTATGAAAAACATATGGCTTCTGTCTTTGTTGCTTCTTCTCTATCTTGGATTACTCACTCTAAGAAAAGCCAGCTCTCATGTCATGAGCGGCCTTGTGGAGTGGCCCATGTGAATAAGGAATTGAGGCCTGTCAATAGTCAACCCTCATGTGAGTGAGCTTGGATGTGAAACTTTCTGTACCAAGCAAATCTTAAGATGCTGCAGCTGGCTGATAGTTTGATAGCAGTTACAGGAGAAATCCTGAGCCAGAAATACAGCTAAGAAGCTTCCAAATATCAGATGCCTGACCCTCACAAACTATTTGAGGTAATAAGTATTGTTTTAATCCACTGAGCTTTAGGGTAATTTGTTATAGGACAATAATTTTCTCTCTTGTATTTTATTCTCTTTTTTGGGATTCATAGTTGAATCTTGGTTCTCCTAATTGATCTTCTATTAATTATTTTTTGTGTCTTTTTGTCTTTTACATTTTTTGTTCTTTTGGCTTCATTATATACACAGAGATTTTCTCTTTCAGTATCTTATTCTTCCTTTATAAAATTTCTCTAAAATCTTTTTGAATATGTGTGAGGTGTTTTGTTTTATGTTTTCTTTCTTTTGCTGAATTATCCTTATTCTTCTGAACTGCTTTTTAAATTTTTTTTGGTCTTTCATGTTGCTATTTTTCTAATCTGTCTGATGATCTTTGATTGTGTTGGAGAGATGATTGTCTGGATGCTAATGCATGTTTATTTTACTAAGGTGCAAAAGGATTTGGTTTTAGTAATTGTCTCCAATCTTTCTATAAGGGTAAGGCATGTTGACTGTCAGACTTGGAATAAATGTGGGAGGACACCAGACTACTCTATGGCTGAACCCCCAAATGCTAACACTCACATTAGAAGCCCCAGTGCTTTCCAAGCAGTTTGAATAAAAACCAGTATCTTTGGATAAAGGCAGTCAAGGTTTTTTTGTTTGTTTTTTCTCTGAGGTACAAGGCTACCTAAGTGCTCTGTTCAGTCAGGGTTGAAGAAGGAATTGGGGTGCTAAGTAGTGACATCTGTATATATTCCTTAAAAGTGACATCTGTATATATTCCTTAAAATAATTATTCTGTTAACAGAGTGACTTTTCATACTATGTCTCGTGTCCTCTCCCTTACTGGCTGGTTCTGAGCCCAGACTTGACGCTCTAATGGATAGATAGCTGAGTGCTTCCTTTCCTCTGACTTTCTCAGTGCACATAACTGGCCACGGCTTCTACTGCTGTCCTTCATCTGTCAGCATGTCTCCATCTCTAATCTTTCAGACATTTTATTCCTATCTCTTATTTGTTGGTGAAATTCTCTCCCACCACACCATCCCTTTTCTATATTCTCGTAGGAATGTTTCTTTATGTATTTCTCTATTTTTATTTCAATTCATATTTTAGAAGGAATGAAAGACAAAGGCATGTGTTCAGTCTATAATCTTGAATTAGATACTTAATAACATTATTATAATGTATAAAGTTAAAATTTTTATTATTAGAAAAGCATTATGTCTTTATTGTAGAAACTTAGAAAACATGAATAATAAAAAATAAGAAATAAAGTGAGGTGTGTAGATGTAAGCTTGTAGTCACAAGTACTTCTTGAAAGGCTGAAGTGGGAGGATTACTTGAGCCTTAAAATTTGAGGCCAGCTTGGGCAACACAGTGAGATTCCATCTCTATTAGGAAAAAAAAGAAATAATATTATATTTTTACTACTATATTTTTTAACTTAAGATATATTCTTATAAACATTTTTCTAAGTATATATGCATATAGATGCCACTTTTACCAAAATGAGATAATTTCACACATGCTATTTTTTCTTATGAAAAATTTAAAACATTTAAAAAAGCTGAAAGAATAGTATCTGAAAACCCATCTGCCAATATAACCATCACCTTGTTGACTCTTGGTTTTTCTTTTTCTCTTTATAATGAATAAAGTAAGTTATAGACACTGAGTTGCAGACTTTAATCCTAAATATTTCAGCATGAATGCCCTAGGGCTAAGTATTCTGCACAATGACAGTATATCATATCTAAGAAAATTATTTTCCTACAAAATAAATAAACTTCCTTCAAAATATCAAACTCAATGTTTGTTAA